TTGAAGGTTTCGAACATGATTTGGGTCATCTTCTCACGGTTAGCTTTCGGGTTCAAGGGGGCCTCGGTGAGGAGGACGGGGTGTTCCTCGGGTGCGACACGCAATTCGTTGTAGAAGGTGTGGTGCCAGATCTTCTCCATATCATCCCAGTTGGTGATGATACCGTGCTCGATCGGATATTTCAGGGTGAGGATACCTCTCTTGCTCTGGGCCTCGTCGCCTACGTAACTGTCCTTCTGACCCATACCGACCATCACACCCTGGTGACGGGGGCGACCGACGATCGAGGGGAAGACGGCGCGGGGTGCGTCGTCTCCGGCGAAACCGGCCTTGCACATACCGGATCCATTGTCGACAACAAGGGCTGCTACTTCGTCGTCACACATTTTGTTTCTTCTTCGTTTTTATTGCTCTGTAACAGAAATCCCGAGTTTTCTTGGTGCCTTGTTCAGGTTCGTTTCGTGCAATGGTTAGAGACTGATGGTTAGGTATACTGGAATATTTTGGTTTTTCAGAAGTGTAGCTGTTTGAAGCGAAGTTGAAGTGTGGTTCTTCAGAACTAAGTCTGTGACGAGGATTCGTGATGCATAGTAGTGGTATAGGGGCTTGTTTCAATTTAACTCTCTATAACTCGAATCACGATGTTCTTTTTAGGGCAATTATGCAATAAGGCCATTGGTAGATGCGGATAGTGGGATATCGCTCGATAAATAAATTTTAATAAATACGGATTTTAAAGTAGGAACATCTATATACACTGTCTAAATAAAATGATAGGATTGATGTTTCCAAATAATGTTTCATCGTAAATATGTACACGAATAAACTTTAATACGTGCATGTATTTCTAACGAAAAATTCATTTGAATGCATCAATTCTCTCATTTAATTTAGGCTTTCTTCAATAGACATGGAAGGTACGAATGCTGTGTTTATCGATACATTGAAGTATTATTTTATTCGAGGATGTTCAAATAATCAAGAAATAATTTCATTTTTTTAAAATAATTCACATAATAGAAGTTTAGCAGCTGGTTGATTATAATTGCCAAATTTGTCTTTCCTTTTATCGCCATAAACTTTATTGTTAAATATAATAAGAAGCATACGACATATGAGAATACGTGGATAAATATCTTGATCAAATTTAATTTATTAAATTGTACTAAAATTCTAACTGAATACTCATCGTGTACTAATTGAGTAGTAATTGAATTCAAATTGAATTGTATTAAAATGTTTGAACTAAAACAAATCGCTACAGTTTTATCAACATATCATATAATCGTCATATATTCCAAGAAACGTTCATCCTAAATAAATCATCCAAAATAAATAAACAATCGTATCGAAAAGTGGCTGAAAATTTCTCAACGAACGACAAGCAATCCTTTTCTTTGCTAGTAAATATTATCGAAGCGAGAATTGTTTATTGCGGGATTAAAAGAGATAGAGGGAAGGAAACGTGAAAGTGTAAAAGCGTGGGGGAGCTCGATGAAGTTTTCGCGGAAAGCTCGCCAGAATTGACCCAGTTGCCTATAAAACGATAGGCAAGCGGCCCCGGCGTCGTGGCACTATTTCGGTGCGCCGCGACGCTAACTTTAGACGTACGAGCGACGGCCGATCCCTAATAAGTGCAAGCGACGTTTATGGCGGGCAACACCGTCTCTGTTCGGCGGCGCTCGGCTCGAACAACGAGGATAAAGCATAAACGACGAGACCCGCGCGTGCCAAAATTATGCTCTGCAAAAAGGGCGAGCCTCGTACACGGGCAAAGACCTCGAATATGCCTAAACATGACGATGGAGCCGGCCATTCGCCCCGTACGCGTATTTTTGGCATCCGTGATTAGCTGCTTAGAAGAATTTCGATGTCGAGGGAAGAAGCACCCCCCCACGAGCGAAAGAACCGCGCAGTCGCGAATAATAATTGCAA